GGTATAATACTATATAAGTAGTATTGTGTAATTAACACAAACCATTGTGTATTTAACTCAAATCATTTTGTATTTAACTCAAATTTTGCTACAGTAGGCTCCATTCTTAACTATGGATTGTCCATAAACTGGGCATTCTTAACCCAGGGGACTACCTGTATTTACTTCCAGGTAACATAACTTTCTTGTTGGATAAAGAATTGTCTGCAATTGAAAAAATAGGAAGGAAGATGAGAAAGTATAGAAGGCTTCTCATGGCTTTTGCTGAAGTGAGGAAGTAACTGACCTTTGGCTGCCAATGTGATTTTTATTGTGATTTGCGTTAGGTTGCTGGTCTTGAACTGCTTTATTTGAAAAACAAAGTACTGAGGATTACCATTAATGTGTAATTCAGTAATTGGATTATATTAATTAAAAGTTTTAAGTGGTGTTCCAAAAGTTGCTATATTCTACTTTGTCTAAATCATTAAACAAATTATTTTGCACAAACAAGCGTATTATAAGAATATTCACATTAAAATATCTACATTAAATTGATTTGGTCTTTCTCACTGTGAAAGATGCATAAAAACGTCTCTATAAAATATTTTATTACAACCATTGATTTCTCTTTCTGGTACAGAAATCAACATTAAATTAATTTTAAAATATTTACAAAGAAAATACTTGTGTGTAGCGGTCTATATAGTTTCACATCTCTTCGTACCTTTTCTTCCAGTACTTGCTAGAAATGAAAAGCTTAATTTTGCCTCCGGAGCATATTCTGAAGCGTGGGGACAGTGAAGCGGTGGCTTACGCATTCTTCCATCTTCAGCACTGGAAGCGAATAGAAGGGGCCCTTAACTTGCTGCACTGCACATGGGAAGGCAGTAAGTATTCTTCTGTCAGTAGTATGAACTTACTTTTTCACTAGCGTAACACTGTGCTCTGATACATTTTAGCAGTATCTGTGAATGGATCAGTTTGTTTTTATGGTACTAGATTACAGTTTAAAGCCATGATCTATTTGTGGTTTATAGTAAATGACAGCTTGATAGTAAACTATAGCTTGAAACCATGATCTGTTGTTGGCTTATTGATGGCAATTGTGCTTAGCATTACAAGCCTCAGATGGAATTGATGCAGCTCTAGAAGTTTACTTTCTTCTAAGGAAAATAATAATTTAAAAATGTCTCTTCTCTCCTCACCATATTTCCCTTTTGAACAGATACCTATTATTCTGCTTTCCCACATTTCTGTTTCTAAAATTTCTATTATTTAAATAAATGACATTCTTAAACTCCCCAAACTTCATGGAATTTAATCCTGTGTTCCTTTTATTGGGAAGCTTAATTCAAGCTGCTGTTTTCATCTTAGACTTGCTGGAAAGCTAAAAGAAGATAGATTATAAGAAATCTTAAGTGGATTTCTATAATAAATCCATCATAAATAGCCATGCTTGATTTTTTTTTTGCTGCAGCTTAAAGGAATCTATTGTTTTCAGAACACTTAGGGGAAATGATTGCTGATTACTGGAAATGACTATTTTTTTTAATGAATTGTGTAGAAATAGAATCAGATCCTGGTTTTAACATATGTTTCACTATCAATTTCCAGACAGTATTTTACTTCCCACTTTGTCTGTTAAACTCTGGCAAAATCTAATAAGTAGAAACATAAAAATCATTTGTTACCTTCCCTCTATGACATACCCTTTCAAAATAGCTGCATTGCAAGTTATCACTGTGTTTATACCATGCCATCCAACAAAGCTTTTCTAAGCGGGTAGAATGCTTAATTCATCATTAGGCTGTATAGAAGGTGAAGCCTCTATATTAAGGTAACACTGTAATATAGTTTGTAAGGTATTTTGAGGATTACTTTTTTTCCTGCCTAACCCTACTTGGATGTCACTGTGAAGGCAGATATTGAAATCAAAGAGGTCAGAAGCATCATCCTATGTATTGTTTGGATCACAGTGAGCTTACACTGTTGAATATCAACAAGCTATTTGCAAAATTCAAGCAATACTTATATCCCATTTGGTTTGTGAAGGAGGTCACTAGGTTGCTGAGAGTAAATTTTAATGGATCTGATTAGGAAATGATGGCATTGCTTAAAAAGGAGTTTGACCTTTTTCTGTTAAATATCTGTTTTGAAACTCTCATTTGTGTTTTTTGTGGCTACTAGGCAAATCCCACTGTATTTTATACTGAGATTATCTTCAAAATCCTCATGGACAAATTTCTTAACCTTCTAACTTTTTTACAGACTTTACACTGAGAAGTAACTTAACCAAGGTCCTGTATAAGTAACACTTGTTGAAATTAAAAAGTAATTTTTCATTATTTGATGTCAATCATTTTCTCTCTCTTTCAGCATTTAGAATGATTCCATATCCATTAGAAAAGGGACATCTATTTTATCCCTATCCCAGCTGCACAGAGACAGCAGACAGAGAGTTATTACCAAGTAAGTAGCTTTTTTTACACATTTTTCTCCTTATCTAAAGGTATGGCATTTGTATACCATATTTCTATACAAACACATTCCACTCATCTGTATGTTAAAATACTGTTAGCTTGTGGCAGCGAGGAAGGACAGCATTGATCTGCTATACCAGAGTCTCTCTTTAAGTTAACTTTGCAGTGTGCAGTCTTTGCAGTGCATCTCCTTTCCATGTTGAAATTTTTACTTTCTAAAGCATGGTGAGGAACTTCAGTCCTTCTTGATGTTCTTGATCTCCTGACTTCCATTAACCATGGCTTGAATAGTCAGTCATCAGGACAGTTAGAATTGTATGCCAATAGCATTTGGAGGATTACATACTTCCAACAACTTGTAAAGAAATACATGAGAGAAACCTGCAATATTCCTTCATTTCCAAGAGGTGAAAGATTGGTATGTGATCAAAATTCTGCAAATTTGAATTAAGATCCTCTTTTGGCTTCAGACTAACAGACACCCCCCTCCCCCGATACATTCTTGATTGATTGCTTAGTCCGAGGGAAGTACATTATGTCTTGCTTGTTCTCACATTCTCAGATTAGAACAAGCATTTCTGTCTGGGAAGATTTATTGGACAAAGTTTTCTATTATGGAAATTGCAAATTTTGTCAGTAGGCTTGTGGGTTTGATTGTTTTAAAAGAAATGCTTGGTTTTGAGTTATTAATACAGGCGTGTCTACTTTTTCAGTTAGTATTTGCTCCTTCCACTGGCAATCTGAACATACATGAACAGTGTAGATTGGCATACAAAGATTGCTACCCCATTTTTGGAGAAGCAATATTAAGCTAAGGGCAGGAAGGATATAAAAAATAGTAAATATAAAATTAAACTAAATCTGATTTATGCCAGTAGAGCTCACTGTACCTTTCTGTTGTTGCAAACCACCCTTGGTTTCAACACGTTCACATGCTGCTTCATATATTGCCTTTTGCTTTTTAAATTCTCATCTCTCTCTTTCTGGAGATCTCGTCAACTCCATCCAACCATGACTTTCTTGGTCCTCCTTCCTCTCTATTCATTTTTTATTTATTTTGCAATTCAGTCCTTGTTCATTCCCTCTTTGTGACCAAACCATCTCAACATACTTATTTTGTATAAGTCACTCACTTTTGTAATGTACATTCATTCATTGCCCATTCATTTTTGATCCTTTTTGTTTTGATACATCCACTCTTAAGTAACCCATTCTCACTTCATTCAATTTACTTTTATGTTTTTCCCGACATTTCCAACTCTCTCTTCTATATAGAAAATTGGGGATATATTTTTCCATACATACATACATACATACATATATATATGTGTGTGTGTGTGTGTGTGTGTTTATGTATGTGTTTTTATATATATATATGTATGTACATACATACATACAGTGGTACCTTGGTTCACGAACTTAATTTGTTCCACGATTCTGGTAGCGAACCGAATCAAATTTCCCCATAAGGTTCAATGTAAATAAGGTTAATCCGTTCTGAACCATATGTATTTTTTTTAAAACCACAAAAATATGAAACAAAGTACAGTACAGTACAGTACAGCATGAAGAGAGGGAACACTAACCTTGCTTGAGGCAACTTCTGGCATGGAGGACAGGAGGGCGGGTGGGGAGGCAGTTATTGTTTGGAGGGAGAGTCCCCCTCGCCTACAGGAAGCCACAACCACGTGTCAGAGCAGGGAAGAAGGCCGCGGGTCATGTTCGTCACCCGATGCGGAGTTCGTGAACAGAAGCAAAATTTTGCGAATGGTGCTGTTCGTGAACCGAATTGTTCGTGAACAGAAGTGTTCATGAACCGAGCTATTACTCTGTGTGTGTGTGTGTGTGTGTAGAGAGAGAGAAAGAGAGAGAGAAATCTTGCAAATGTTTGCTTCTTTTTTGTGATGGAATGGAATTATGAAGGCCAAGCTCAGGGAGATAAACATTTTCTTAGCTC